ACTCTTTCACGAAACATGGGTCGAGAAGAGAGCCTGCGTCATGAGTAGATCCTCCGTAATTGTTTAGTAGAAGGAGCCCCTTTTCAGTTTCCCAAGTTAGGAGGGATTCACCGCATGCGTCGTTTCGTGCTGCGGGGTCCCAAAGCGAATGACGGATGTTGAAGTCTCCTGCCGAGATATATGTGGAGTGTGTAAGAGACACAGTAAAGAGCCTTATATTATTATTTTTATTATTATTTAACTTCGTGCTAGCTCACAACACAACCTTAAGGTATCGTGTTGGCCAGCTCAGTCTACATAAACTACCCGACGTGCCGATACCTTTAAATAAGCCCGGCATGTTATAAATGGGTCAAGGCCTGCCTGCCACGCACCCCGAACTATCGAAAGAAGTCAAAGGTACTCTCGAGCTGAGACTTTTGTATTGTAAAACAGTAGAGAAGACAGTTATATGAATGAAAAGGAAAGTTATCCATCACCTAGACCAGAAGTCTTCTAAATTTAGCTATAGCAAATACAGGCCAAGTGCATGTAATTTGGGGTACTAGTTAGTCTTGTTGTTGCATGCTTGAAAAAAGCACGTTTCATGAAGCCATTTACTAAAAGCCATGGCTCCTTCAGAAGAGCCTAGAATCCAACGAATTCCCATGGTTAGGTGTTTATTTCCGCTGCAAAGGCGGGACCGACTCCGATTGAGTCGACAAAAAAAGAAGTGCTCGGGAGACTTTTCTAGCCCGCAAGCGCAGATAAGAAGAGCGTCCGAGTGCTGAAAGCGGCGGTGGTAATCAGAAAAGTCCCCATGGCCTGAGCGAGCTGCAAGAAGGCGACCAAGAGCGTAGCGGTTAAGGCTCTTGAGTTCGGGGGAGCTCCTAATATTGGCGTTAATTCCCAGTTTTTGGTATCGTTCAGGAGGGCTTTGGGACCAGTACAGGGATACAGAGGCTTTGTATCGAGAGATTATGTCTCTCTTTGCTCGTGAGATTGTTGGAGATAGGGGGAGCGAAGGGGTTGCGCATGCTTGTTTAGCAAGTGCGTCAGCAGCTTCATTGCCCGGTATGCCAACATGTCCAGGACACCAGTAAAGAGCCTTGTAGCTACAGACGAAATCTATGTACTGCTAGGAAGGTCATGTGACCTGTCTAGCTTAGTATTTTTTGTTTGTTTATGTTTATTGTACTACTTGATCTATGATTATCTAGCACATTGAGCTCCTCTCTGACCCAGGCCACACCTTGTACGGTGCTCCTTGCCTCTCATGTTTAATTAAAGTAGCTTAGTTTACATGAGTAGGTGAAATGTTATCCCTAGATAGGTTCTGTATAAACTTAGATGACGAAAGTAACGTTGCGTGTGCGCATATTTTATCAATTGAGGTTTCGACCAGTATTTATCAATCTCCATCAATCATGAGTTATGATCCCCAAAGATATAGATCTATTTACATACAGATATTTAAGCTAGGAATATAAAGCTAAATGCATGTTTGGCAGGTAATAGGTCTAAACATCCCACAAACTGCATTTGAGACACAGTCATCCACTGGAAAGCTTGTGTAACATAAATAACGTTGCGTATCATCTTCAGCAGAGGATTTATTGATAAAAATAATTTAGGATGAGGAATCTGCTAGTCTAATTAGTCAGACCTACAAATATGTTACTCTTGGCTTTCAAAAATATGTCATATTTCAACAAAATGTGATTGTGATTTGCCGGAGTCTAACCAGGGATCTCCAGTCTCGAGTTGGTGATCTTCATGCTATCCAGCATCAACTTAACAAGCCGGATTAGATGATATACAATTGCAATATCGAACCTTGGCGGCGTATACAGTGTCGCCTGCAATATTAAACTCGATATCGTGGAGCGCGCGATATAATGATTAGAGAACTCCTCAAAAATAGGAATCTGACTCCTTTTAAAACTATATTCATTCTTAACGTTAACTTGACGTTTTTTTAATTCATTAAGTGTATGTCTAACTCGGCATTAGATCTCGGTTTTCACATCCGTGAGGTTCCTGATGGATTAGTACGTGTGAAAAATGAGATAAGCTTAGCTTTATGAAGGCGTAGGTTACGGGTGTCTCGTGGCTCCAAACTACCAGTATTTTGAATTTGAATTTGAAATATTTTACGTGACAGGAAGAACCTAACATCTATTTAGACGTGACACGGGTAGGTGGGCTCTGAAAGCTCATTGCTACCTACATGACCGGTAGTGGAGCCAGAAGCGACAAAAGAAAAGAATGAAAAAAAATGAACAGTATATGTCTGAGTTACGGTGCCCTGCGCCGTTTCCATATCTTCCACACCCATCTCCTCTCGGGTCAGAAACAATCTCAGCGTGGTAACCTTCCACCCTGTTCATTCTTCGGCAGACTGTAACATCAGCTTGTAGTTAAGAATTGAATGAACTTCTGCCATCCCTTCTCCCCTATCATTTCCCTGGCCCCAGGTGGGGCCATTTTCTCATAGCTTCTCCAACGTAGCAAAGCAGGTCGGCACTCTGAAAAGTGCCAGGGCCTTTTCTCTCGGCCGCAAATGCATTTCAGATCTTCATGTTCGGGGTTGAAACGTCAATGGTAGTCGGCGTAGTCACCGTGGCCTGTTCTTGCCGCAATAAGACGATGATACGCCCATCTTGGTAAAGCTAGTTCCGGTGGTCTTTTGCAGCGCATGAATAGGTCCAGATCTTTGTATCGTTTCGGTCGATACTTCTACCACCACTCTTCCACGAGCTCTTGGCTGCGCTGTTTAACCCACCTCCCTAATGCCGCAAATGTTAGGTCTTGATCTTCTAGAATGGGCGCAGCTGAGGTTAGTGACCGGTTATTGGGAGCTCCCAAGGCTGATTTGGCCAGCTTATCGGCCTCTTCATTGCCTTGAATCCCCATATGTCTGGGTATCCAGCGTATTTCCACACGCTTATTGTATCTCAGCGATGAAAACTTGTCCACCACCGACTGCGAGGAGTTAGATCTTCCTCTTTCGAGCGCCTGGGTGGCCGCTTGGTTGTCCAGAAGAATGCAGGTCAGTAAGTCTTCTACTACCTCTATTGCAGCCTTCTAGGCTTTCATGACACCTACAACTTCTGCGTCGAATACCTCTGCTCCGGGAAGTGGACCGGAGCCACTTGCAACTAGCTTGCCTCCTTGGTATACTACATTCCCCCAGGCTGATTTTCCGGGACCCGATGATGATCCATCAGAGAAAGCGAAGACTGTGTTAGCTGGACGGGAAGTTAACCATCGCTTTATGCTTCCAGACCTAGCTTCATTTTCTCGACTACATGGAATCGATGCTGGAGTGCCACGTGGGAAGTATAGCTTTCCGGGGCCTTCGGCTGTCGGAACTCGACGCACACTCATTTGTAGGCGTGTCATGTACCGTTTTGGTTGTCTGAACAAACGATCTCTTTGTCCCGATCTAAGACCTAAGCGTCTTATTGTCTCTTTCGGATCCTCAGCCGCCCGAAGGGCTAGAGGTTGCCAGGTATCCATTCTTCGCATACGAGCTGCAGACCGCAGCATCTTTTGCTGAAGAATTATCGATGCCGGGGGTATTCCCGCTTCACGATGAAGAGCGCCATTGGGAGTGGTACGCCACGCTGGGAGTGCTACTCTGATAGCTTTCATTATCGTTTTTTCCAGTAGAGATATATGCCAGCCTACTCCAGTGCCGACTTCTTTATCTCGTAGTGTAGTTATTCGAGTGAGACCCGGTCACCACGCTTCTGCCCCATATAGAGCTGTGCTCAGAACACATGCATGTACTGCACGAATCAGAGGTCCGGGTGCTGCCCCACGTTGAACTCCGTTTATATGTCGTAAGAAATGGACTAGACGATTAGCTTTTCCAGTCTATTCCTGTACATTTTGCTTGAAGTTTAGCTGGATATCAAGCCAGACTCCTAGCCACCGGATATGAGGTGACGGTTCGATCCGACGATCTTTCACCAAGATGGAAAGATCAGCCGCGTTTATTTTCTTTCTAGGCCCTCCTCCGGTTACTAGAAGTTCTGACTTTGCTGGGTCAAAATCGAACCTGTGTTCTCTTGCGAGAAGGATAAGGCTGTCGAGGTCGTCTCGAGCTGCGGAGATGGCATCCGCCGCGGTGTTTCCAACCAAACTACCAGTATGTGTGGTAGAGCTTAAGACTAAATGTAACTTGATTTTCTATTGATACAGGGTATCGTCTATATAAGTACAGTATTCCTTATCTTGCGCCCGGACTCCAACGTGAAAAACATTACATAAGCGTTACAATTTATCAGAGCCTCGTACTAATATAGAGGTTCGTCAACCTTGGATCCTCATCCGTCTCAAAAAATTTACTAGATCTACGCGCCACGATCTATATCTCTTGTAGATACTGATACTGTCGTGGGCATGAACATGGAGGTCACTATAGCACTGAGATTGAATCTACAAGAGGTGCGGTTCCTGAGATGATGATAGAATAGAATAGAATAGAATTAAATTTAAGTCCCTACTGAGTCTAAGACTATGAAGGACTCTGAGATGATGATGTACCAGCTCATACTTGTTTACTTCATGAAACTCTGGTCGAAATTAGTGTTCTTGAGACAGAATAAATGAAATGATTGGAATTCTCGAATTACTGCCTAGTGGGCCGACCATTCTGTTTCGTGAAGTTTTACCAAATTCGATTCCAGTAGATTCCCTCATCCATAGGTACGAAGAAGATATTGCTGAAAAAGTAGGGATGTGAAAGATCCATATTTTTATGTATGGCAACGATGACAAAAAATCTATTTAAATCTCATATTCCTGATTGTGGTAGGTCTCGACTACATAAAACTCATTCCGTCAGCCTTGCGCCAAATCCATGCTTTATGGTACCTGCTGTAGCCCAGCCCCAAACAGTAAGTCTCCAAACGCCCTTATCATTATCCATATAAACATTCCTGAAGACTCCGATACGATACTTAAATCAAGTGTTTTAAGAGAGAGGTACAAGCTCTATAATCTCTATATTTTTATCTCCTAACTGAACCCATTCTCGATGCAGCTTTGACTGGCGCCGGTAAGGATTTTGAGAAATTGTGGAAGGCTTGAAGTTGTCAGGAAAATTATTAGGAAACACTTGGGGTTTCTCGCTTACCAGATTCATTCTCAAAATGGATAGATATATCGTCGTGTTCGCCGGGATACTCTGGCATATCTAAACAAACATAACCATGATCGATCCCAGAATATTCATTACGACTCTTCGGCAGAGCAAACTTCGCATCTACGATTCGCAACGAGTACTTACCTCCACGAAAAGAACTTTCAAAGATGTCTGTAGACCTTAGAATAAAATTCATGCAGTCGCCATGATTAAAATTTTGAAAAAATGCAACCAGTTGTATAACCTTCTCTTTCTGTATAATTTGAATCCGCGTCATAGCAGCATCCCATTTCTTGTAAATAGGGACCACCATGCGTCGACGTGATATATTAAAAGATGTCACTATTTCATCAAATAGTACTTCAAATCCTGTGAGAGCTACTTGAAACAAGTGAAGCTCATCCATAGAAGGAAAAGCATATACTCTAGTCGAGCTGTATCTTTTTATATCATTAAGAAGTCCGGAAAGTTCATGTGGTGACCCTTTGGGAGCTTGTGATTCGATTGATATGGTCATGTCTACTTGAGGTTGGCGAAGAACTTTGATTTCTAGTGGATGATGAAGGTCTAAGCGAATTTTTAATTCACCGGGCCCAACATTTACTCTATCTGTTATTGTTCCATGCTCAAATTCTAGAATTATACGAAGTTTCTCGGAAAGTATGGTCTTACAGCTTTGTAAGTCGTTACTTCCCTGGTTTATGAACTTGAAGCGTTGCCAATCTAGTGTTTGGAGTAATGAAAATGGTTTTTGGTTCTCGGCATCTAGCGCAAAGGCTTTCACTGGTCCCTCAACGATAATTCCTTCATCATGCCCAAGCGCTATACCAGTTAGAATTGCATGAAATTTGGTTCGTTCATTGACTTCATTGAATGTAGCAATAAGCATCCGCATTGAAGAATTCGCCTCTTCCATTTTTAGAAGAAGAGCTGGGAAGCCTCCCTCACCCCTTAAAAAAGAGAACTCAATTGGGAGGTTCGATGGTAAATCTAAGTCGACACCCTTAAGGTTTTTTATAGCAGGACTTGTCACCAAAGCAATTCGAAAGCCACGGTGCATTATTCGAAGACCGGTAGCAGCCTGCTCTGCAAGAGTTCTTTCGTAAAGTCGTATATGACAACTCGGCTGCGGCTCTTTGTTGAAGGTAGGATGTGGACTTTCATCTAAATATTGAAAGCTCCTTAATATAGTTTCAAAAATGAGTCCTTCACCTAATCTTTGGGAGAGGGCAGCATAAATCCTTTTTTCATAATCATAGATCCTCCAGAAGTTACCAAAATCTAGCTCCGAACAGTGAAGACAGAGAAAAAATCCACGAGGTAGGCGAATCTCAATCATAGATTTCCTGGCATGCCATCTTAAATCCGCCCACGTTGGACCTTGTGCTTTATCAGACTGGATGGCGAAATTAAGGGATCCATCTTGATTTGCGATGATAGCTTGAATTGCCTTGTCTTTATGATTTCGAATAATGGAGAGTAAGACGGGGCATCTATATAGCTGAGATGTACCTTGTTCACTTAGGATCGCCTCGGCAAGAAGTCTTCCATAATGAAAGAATTGAGTGGTATCACCGATTGGTAGTGATACATTGATACAAGAAACTGAGGGTAGTCTCTGACCGATAATTAGTGACTTATCACCTTTATCAGAAACCCAGATAGTTGAGTCTAGCCCCTGAATATAATCAGCATATTGAGTATCCGGGAGAAAATTATTCCGTTTCATTGATATAGTGAGCTTTCTAAGTCCAGATATGACAGCTTGCTGAGTTTCTAGTGTGTCTGCAACTGATTTGTCGTTGCCGGAACGAGGATCCAACTCGGGAATTCTCGATTTGAAGTACTCCATTATCCATAATGCCTTGACTAGATCCATGTAGGATTGATTAAGATTACGAAAATTCGCCTTTTGGTCTTGTGGAGTGATGGGTTTTTCTCTAACGGCAGCTTCTAAGTTCATTCTACCTACCAAAAACCACCAGAGACCCATCCGTACAAGTAGCGTCAAAGAATAAGAGGCTAAATTTTCAGACTCAGCAGACTGACGAAAGAGGATTGCGACTTGCGCAGTACGTTTAGAAAACTCTGTCAAAGCCTCATCTCCTGCAGCTACTATCGCCTCCGGTGGAGGAGAGAAAGGCGTTCTAGGCGTACTTTCCTGTCTCTCATAAAGACTTTGCGACATTTGATGGGTTGATGGAGTTTCTCTGGGCGTATTTATTCTAAAAATAGCGCCCAGGCTTTCAGAAAAGCTCTCAGACACTTGGGGACCATTTGACGCCATGGATCGGGAAGAATCTGATCTTATAGCATTTGTCATTGTATTCAAATGTAACTCTTCTAGTTGAGAAGTATTTCCCTCTATACCTATTCCACCAGGTATGTCTCCCTCAACAATCGAGTTACGAGAAGCAACCAAGGTCATACCCTCCCCTAATCTCATCTCATCTCTGATTTTTTGGGAAATTGAACGCCTATCAGTTTTATCACGTTGTATATATAGACTTCGAGGTAGCTCCTCAACAGTGCGTTGTTGCTGGCCTTCATTCTCAATAAAGTTAAACTGCTTCTCTGACAATAAATCTAGACCGGTTTTCGTTTTCTGATTTTGACTTAGAGTTGACGGTTCTGTAGTATCATTTTTCTCAGAAGAATGGGATGTAGAATCAATCATAGCTGATTCTTCAATCGAAATTTCCTCAGTCGATACATGTGGTAAGTGTGATTTAGTCTCTTTCCTTATTGAGATTTGGACAGTAGGAGTTTCTGCTAGTTCCCCCCCATCTCCTATAATAGTAGGAGGTGAATCACTAAAGTGAACTACTAAGCCTTTTCTACTTTTTTTTGTGTACATAGGTAGCTTACTTCCCACACCTGAGTTTGCAAGATCTGATTTCAGAGACCATGATGCTGAATCTGGATGATTGATTTGTACGACTGGTGGTAAGTTAGTATGACTCTGTGGTACCAAAAATAGTTTATCTGATGTGCCATGGAGAAAGTCATCAACTTCGACCTCACTAGTCGGCTTCTTTGGTTCTTTGAATAGTTTTCCCATGAAGCGACCCCTTTGCTTTTTCTCGTTTTCCTTTCCATGGCTTGCATATTCTTCCATAATCGCTAATCTCTACTTTCTTGCTTGTGGATAGAAGATAATACAGTCAAGAAGTCTGCGGCTGAAGTAGAAAAACGGACAGTCCTAAGTCAATTGTAAGCCGCACATCGCAATGAAGTAAAATCCAAAAAAATCCAAACTATGCCAGAGAGAAACTTTTAAAATTTAACAGGAGTGATGTGCTGAAAATGTCAGGGTTTTTATTGTAGTTCCACGTTGGATGTTTCATTTAATATCCACAACAGCTTCACGGTAAGGCTACCCAATTAACAAAGTTGAAGGTCTGTGCACGCATCCACATTTGTACCGAGGACGAGCCACCTTCAGCTTGATGAAGCGAGCCTACATTTAACTTCAGCGGTTAATAATACCACATGTTGATTTAAAATCAGTATTAATTTGATTGTAAGATAAATCAATGGAATGCGAAATACCAACTAATTAGTACAAAATTGATGATTTATTGTCGAATCGTCGGTAGTTCTGGATGCTTGAAACGAATCTACCTTTTCATGACAAACTATCATAGCCTACTTGGGTTGGATGGTGCAGTGGTATACCATCCGGGCCGTTCTCCTAAGTAGATGCTGGGTGGCTTGAACACTTACTCCATATGGAATAGGAGAAGGCTGGTCCGAATCCATTCAAGCCCCCGCACCAATCTCTCTCGCGGTGATGTTGTATTTGTGGGATGTTAAAAGCACACTCGGATAAACACAGAATCTTTACGCTTTTCCCTGTGGTGGGTATGCACGGAAGAGGTTATACGCCGTAAGGGTTAACCTCGAGTGGTATCTGCAAATGAAATCTGAGTGTGAGTGTTCTAAATGTCAAATTGAGTCATCCTACTCGAGTACATATCTTCCGATAAAACATGCATGGGCCTCAAGGCGCCAAATCAAGAAAAATGAATAATATATATATAGAGATCATAGCCTACTAGCGTTCGTGCATTTTGAATGTGTGGAAGAGTGTTAAATAGGAGATTAACATATGTTCATGATGCAACTACGTGAGGTGACTCTTGGATCTCACCAGTTAATTCATATTTTATTGTCCTGTCTGAGTCTATGACTATGTAGGACATGCAGGTCCTCTCTGCCTACAGGCCAAGGATACCTATACCAGTAGTATATCCCCTCCTATGCTTCCTATACAACTCCCCTCAAACAGTACCAACCCTCACAAGTCCTCATTCGATCATACACTAAGAGGAGCCCTTAGCCCTTCATTATCTCCCCTCTCCAGCCAACGAAACGATGGCCATTTGCGGGTATATGGCAGCCGGGAAAAGTCGCAAAAACCACTGGGTGCGGGGCTCTTCTAATACCGACATTAGGAATAAATCCGAAGACATATTGCCCCTTCTGAAGCGTTCGAAGAGGCCGGCCAGCTGGGCGCTACAGACTTGTAGGTACCTCAGGAAATTCACCCTCTGCCTTTCTAGCCTCTTTCCAACTCCTTCCCGAAGGTCGTGCTGAAATGTCAGAAAAGTCTTGACAGAGCGTGATTGCTGTATAGTAGCTTAACCTAACTTCTTTTGTACCGTCCAGGGCGCTGGGGAGTGCCGTTGACTCATCGACAAAAGAAGCCCTCCTGGCTAATTAGCCGAAATCTCGGTCTTGGCGCCCACAAAAAAATCCAAAGTTGAAAATACTTCGAAAATGTCAGTCCCAGCATGGTCTTTCAGGGAACTCTTTCCTCTCTCGCTCCACATCTCAGTCGCTTGTCCTTCCTCAAGATGTATAACCCCATTAGAGCAGCAGTCCCTCATAAACCAAGACCCCAACTTTGTATTTTTCGACTTGATTTCCTTCTTACGGGTATACGTAGCGTCGTAAATTTGTAGTGGGAGATGGCTGGAAATTAATGAGGCAAGCTCCTGTTTGCAATTAGGGTGACGCCTTTATCGGTCGGCGAGGCGAGATGATATGTGTTTAGATCGGGGTTGAGGACTCAGAAGATAATGATGAGTGCTGCATGGTTGAGAAGTTGTCAAATGGAGATATGCATGTGTTTGCTTTCGACTTCGATTCGGATGCAATTCTTCTTGGCTATCCCAGATATGCAAAGCATACTGAACGATTACACCGGCACCACTGCAAGGTGAAGAATTCGTCTTTGTCGGCAGATCTCACCAGTTAGGTGTGTAATAATCGGTAAAGGAAAAAATTAATCATGGAGCAGATTTATTATCCTCCTAGTGCGATACAATGGTTTCAAAATCTGGCCGTGAAGTAAATTCAGAGGCCCTTGTACAGGAATTGAGAGTATTGAGGCTTTTATCGCACACTCACGGAATTTAATTTTATGGTAAGTCAAGGTATCTACCATGCACAGTATCAAAGATATCGCCATGTTACACCAACGAATAGTTACAACCATTTAACTATGTCACCCACCATCATCGCAAACTTACTATCCACTACTTTATAGATGTTTGTTTATGTGTTAACCTGACGGGAAATTGGTACTTCCGCCACTCCTATAGGAACTTAGAGACGCGTAGGGCCGAGCTATATCAGATCGAGTACCATTTGTTACATAAGCCTCGCTCTACTTGTGGTTCATGAAAGCATAAGGTTTTATTAATATTTATTTAGTTATTTTCACGGTCTACCGGGCTTTCCTTACATCTAAAGCCCTATTCATTGGGAGACATGGTGGCTACTAAATCTTACATCACATAACATTTGTTTAGAGACAGAAAAACCATAAAAATTCCCATACATTATGCGAGCGCTATCGGCGGATTTGCGACATTGCTAGGTCATATTGCACGGATTGGGCAGAAATTTGACAGTAGCCTAATCTTCTGCAATATTAAAGCGAATCGCTTAGCTGCACAGGAGATGCTGGGAAACAAATCGAGTAAGCCCAGGCTCCGTCGATGACAGATAGAGGCCAGTCTTTTTCCAACGAGGGGACAGAAAACAAGTGGGTGATTTACTTGGCGCACCAACAGAAACAAGTCATCAGGGCACCTGTATGACAGAACCTATCATCTTTTTTTTTTTTTGCATCAGATTTTAATTGCGTATGCAGCTATCTAGCTATGACACAATATCAAAGAAAAGTACAGAAAAGATGACTCAATTTACAAGAGGAGCACTCATGCCTCGGATTTCATTTGCAAGTACCACTGCGAAATTATGGTGGCTTTTTCTTCACCCCAAGTCAACCCTCATCCGTGAATACCCACCCAGGGGAACGTCTCAAAAACCCTGAGTTATCCAGACATGCCTCCGTCATCCATCAACTTTTCTCCGCGCGAAATGTAATCTGAGATGTCTCCTTCCCAAGTGGAGTAGGTGCCCAGGCTACTCAAACCATACCAGAGAACATCACCAGGAGGCGGACCACAACACCTACCATAGTTTGCTTGTTTTTATAGTGTCAGCTGCACTCTCGCAAGCGAAGTCTTGGCGCGCACAAAGCTCAATTCGTAAAACTCTTGCCAAATTTCAAAATTCCACGCCCGTCGAGAATGTATCCCTCTTCTGCATCATCTTGTGAACTTGTCCTGATCCCTCTCACGTCCATCCCAAAGAGCTATCTCCCAGATTTGTGCTCCACGCTTTGCTTCCTCCGTCGGGTATAAATATCGGCGTGGGCGTGTATTTGGTGACCGGCTGAGGCCAGAGAAAGTCGACGAGAGGTATGGTCATTGAAACGAGGATGTACTAGGTCGTACTTGTAGACTTGATGAAGCTTAGTTGAGAATCGGACTCTTTGGGAGTGAAAGATTGACATGGTGGAGTAATTTGAATCTTTGCCTCGTGGGCCAACTTCTTTGATATTGCGAAATTTGACTGAACTTGGCTCTGGGAGAATATTTCACTCCCAGGTTCGTAGAGGACACCGCGTACAGGTGTTCAGTCTTGCCCTCCAGAACCTATCATCGTAAGTATGAAAGTAGCCGTGTTAAGTCCGGCACTGCATTAGATACCCTGGATAAACAAGTTATTCCATTGTCCTGATTTGGCGCCTTGAGGCCCATGCATGTTTTATCGGAAGATATGTACTCGAGTAGGATGACTCAATTTGACATTTAGAACACTCACACTCAGATTTCATTTGCAGATACCACTCGAGGTTAACCCTTACGGCGTATAACCTCTTCCGTGCATACCCACCACAGGGAAAAGCGTAAAGATTCTGTGTTTATCCGAGTGTGCTTTTAACATCCCACAAATACAACATCACAGCGAGAGAGATTGGTGCGGGGGCTTTAATGGATTCGGACCAGCTTTCTCCTATCCCACATGGAGTAAGTGTTCAAGCTATTAAGAATTTGCATGGGAGAATAGCCTGAATGGTGTATCACTGGGAGGGCAAGACTGAACACCTGTACGCGGTGTCCTCTACGAACCTGGGAGTGAAATATTCTCCCAGAGCCAAGTTCAGTCAAACTTCGCAATACCGAACAAGTTGGCCCACGAGGCAATGATTCAAATTACTCCACCATATCAATCTTTCACTCCCAACGAAATCGATTCCTACCTAAACCTCATCAAGTTTACAAGTGCGACCTAGTACATCCTAATCCCAATGACCACACCTCTTGTCGACTTTCTCTGGCCTTAGCTGGTCGCCAGATACACGCCCGCGCCGATATTTACACCCGACGGAGGAAGCAAAGCGTGGCGCACAAATCCGGAAGACAATTCCTTGGGATGGATGTGAGAGGGATCAGGAAAAGTTAATAAGATGATGCAGAGGATTGGATACAGTCTCGACGGGCGTGGAATTTTGAATTTTGGAAAGGAGTTTTTACAAATTGAGCTTTGTGCGTGCCAAGTCTTCGGCTGCGAGAGTGCAGGCGACACTATAAAAACTGCCATGGTTGGATGGTGCGGTGGTACATCATCTTGGCCGGTCTGCCAAGTAGAGTCTGGATAGCTTGGACACATATCCCACTTGAGACAGTAGATCGCTGGTTCGAATCCGGCAAAACACAACCACATTTCTCGCGGCGCTGGTATGCATGGATGACGAAG